ATAAAATAAACTTAAATCTGCAAGATGCCTGGATATTCCAGAAGTGGGAGGCTTTACGAAAAGATAGAGATGTAAGGCTTTTTCTAAACTCTCCATCCATTCCTTCCTTGGGATTGCACTCCACATCTCACACACCAAGTAACTTTTTCAACAACTGCTTGGAAAATGGTCTTTATGTCCAGACCACGTCTTCCAAGAGCAAAATCTCACTGGTAGAAAATATCTGCAAGGGCAAACAAAGTGTCAGCATAGTAAATCATGCTTTTAAAAGCCACTGACAAGACTCTGTGAATACAGGCTCCTGCTCCCACTTGTTGCTCAACCTGGTGCTGCTGGGCACGGGCAGGATTGTCCCCAAGTCCTCGATGGGAAGCAAGGCAAGGCACAGTCCTGCACCCCACAGGCGTGCCAGACAGCAGAGTGGGTCATGGCCACACCACACCCCAAGAAAGAAATTGAGGGGAAAGATCAATATTTGCCCAAGTAGATAGGTCAAAACCCTACAGAATGATTGTTTTAAGGACACAGTGAAGCATTTATAAAGAGACATAATTGTGCCTGTCACAGGTCTCACCAGAAGTCAGTTTAATCTGCACCCCACAGGCGTGCCAGACAGCAGAGTGGGTCATGGCCACACCACACCCCAAGAAAGAAATTGAGGGGAAAGATCAATATTTGCCCAAGTAGATAGGTCAAAACCCTACAGAATGATTGTTTTAAGGACACAGTGAAGCATTTATAAAGAGACATAATTGTGCCTGTCACAGGTCTCACCAGAAGTCAGTTTAATCCTGCTATATGCAGCTAGGAGAGTCTCTGCCTGCCTCTGCTAGGGCTCGCCTCTACATGGCCACTTTTGGAAAGCCTGTTTCTCCTCATGAATAGGCATGATCTGCTTATTAAGACAAGAAGCACTTTCCCCCATCCCTCCCTCCCTCCCTCCCCTTGTGGTGACTGCAGCGTAGCTGCCTGAGTGCAGGACTGGTAAGTTATGCATGCTGGAGCTGTTCTTTTGTGAAGGGGAGATGTTACAACTTGTGTGATTTGCCATCATGCTGTCTTTTGTGACAATCCTGAGATGGAAGGAAATGTCTGGAATATTTCTGGCAAAAAAAAAAAGATCATTCTGAAGTCCAAGAAAGGATTCAGCGGAGGATGTTGGTGTGCTTTACATCTGAGAGAAGAAAGACAAATCATACACTTCAGTGCCCCCACCCCCAAAGCAAAACCATCTCTACATCCACACAGGGATTTTATAAATCCCCAAGACCCTTCTTCTGAAAATTTATTGCAAAACAGCCATCAAAGTTTCTGAGTAGGGGAAAAAAAAATCTTCTCTAATACCCACTCATGAGTCTGTGACCTGGATATCATGCAAAGGCAACTGGGTCTATAATTTCCACTTATGATGGAAGCTGAAACAAAAAATTAAAGTCTTCATATCAAGCACTGAATTTCTAGATCCCCACTTACCTCTTGCTCAGGAAAAGTGTCATTATTTTATAAACTGTGTTCCAATAATATTTTACATTTTACCAAGAGTAATACTGCCATGTATGTTTGATAAGAGAAAAACCTGCCGTTCTCAAAAAAACACTACACCACTTTAATTTGGCAATTAAAAACACACATCATGAATATATTTCACCTCTGAAGTAAAGCTCTCACGCGTAGAAATGGACTTTGATTAATGTCTTATCCTCTTAGAGCAAACAGTTTGAGTCTCTCCACATACTACTGAAATTCAACATTATTATTATTGTTGTTATTATTATAATGATTCTCTACACGCAAGGCTCTAAGGGTAAAATATATTGGAACCGAGTTTGTTTACAGCACAATTAACCTTATGTTAAAAACATATGAACAAGTTTTGCAGGTCAAATAACCTACCACACAAAAAGGGCTGAATTATCAGAATTTGTGCTAGCAATCGGATGTTGCTTTATGTACTGAATTTCTATCTTTCTATTCTAAAGTAACCATTGGAATAATTTTCTTACAGAATGATAGTTGCTATGACAACCATAGCAAATTTTCCTTTTCTGAAACAGATGTCTCATTTAGTTGAAAATTAGAATGTGAAAAACCCATGGGAAAAATTAATTCAAACTTTAACAGAACACTCACTACAATGTAATCTCTTATAGGTTAACCCCTTAACATCTTCCTGCACTCTTACAGTAACCTCCTCATAAATTCTAATTAAACCAGTTTAACCTCCTAGGAATGACCTTCTTAGCTATCATTAGTGCTTCTGTTGTCTTTGAAAGGAGCATTTCTGTTTCAATAATATCAGAAGAAAGTCATACCAAAAAAACTGTGGTCAAACATATTACCACCTTAATTATTTATTAGTTTTTCTTTTATTCAGCTACTACTGGAAAGGGCTACCGTGTAGTCCCAGTATTCTGTTGTCATTTAAATGGAGCATAACTTAGTTACACATGTGATTTACTGTAAAGGGCAATGAATGATGCACAGATTTGACCTGTAATTTACGTGGAAATTGAAGGGTTTCAGTTTTCAAACCACTGGTACCCATCTCAATCTGCTCAGCAGATGTACAAAAAGGGGACACAGAAAAGGATACCTGGCTGGGGAGAACTATTAACGTGCACAGATTTTTCTATTACAAGCAATGAGAGAGAGAGAAATCTGATTCTTCATTACCTTGAATCAATTTAAACTTTTTTTAACTTT